TTCCTTTTGGACTTTCACTAACTGTTACATGGCCGATTGGCTAAAAAGTTTTTTATGTACTATCATAGAAGAATAAAGAAAGTAGCACTCATTGTCAGACGGATACTTCATTTATGCATCCAATGACAAACCCTATCCTATAGGCTACCATGTGTAAACAAAGGAAATCACTCCTGGTACCAGAAATCTACTGTTTCAAAGAGCTAAAGATGGCATGGACCTTATTAGAAAAGTTATCTACTGGCGCCACTTTGCCAGACCAGCATAATCCCTTACTATATTCTAAATTTTATCCTCATATCCACAGTTAAAGGTGGAGTTACCACCCTTCATCAAAGAAGCTTCTCTTTACAGAAAACGGAGACTATTACACAAAACCACAGCTGGATACAATGCGGAGATCAATGGATCATGAGGAGTCCAGCACCAAAGAATATATGCATATCATAGATCCTGTGCCTATGGCTCAAGGGACATTGTGGAAGAAGGGGTGGACAGACTGTAAGAGCCACAATACCTGGAAGTCTTCTGTGAAACACTCTGTAGAAATAGCTGCATGAACAAGACTGGAACAATAGAATATCAATGGACATACAAATATATGTATGTGCAGCAAATAAAATAAAACAAAAGAAGGCTATCAACTTGAGAGTGGGGAACATGAAAGGAATTTCAGGGAGAGTAATTGGGAAGGGCTGGAAAGAATGAAGGGAGGAAGGGATGCAATTCTATTTCAATTAAAAACATTTTTAAAAAGAAATAGTATGAAATCTACATAAAGGTTGCTAAGTTTTTTAATTATAAAAGTAATATATACTCATTTTAGGTATTTTGAGAAATACCAGCAAATGAGAAGAATATAAAGTATGTATATAATTCTGCTCTGGTTATCCAAAGAATTGAAACTTTTCATATATATTCCCTATGTACTCTTCTCTAGAAATACTTTTATTGTTGTATGTAGTCAAAACCATACCATATAGACATCCTTGTCATGTCACCACAATTTGAATAATTTCCTCAATTCATTATCAGTGACAGCATAAAATGAAGCCAAATACGTATGGCTAGTCAACAAGCCAGCAGTATCAAAGGTGAAAAGGCCTGTGACCTACCTTTAATTCTTATATATTAGCAGCAAGCATCTCAATCTATACCTGTAAGATTCCTGGAAACTTAACAAAGTATAGCCATTGGTACACTGAAAGGCACTTCAATATTCAAAGACAGCTTTGTGATGGTTCCTCTACAGTTTACTTTCTATTGCTGTGATAAACAAGATGACTAAAAGCAAACTGGGGAGCAAAGGGCTTATTTCACTTTGAAGATCATAGTCCATCATGAAGGGAAGTCAGAGCAGGGATTCAAGGCAGGAACCTGAAGGCAGAAACTGAAGAAGAGACAGGAAAATGGTGCTTACTGGTGTGCTGCCCCTTACTTGCTCATTTACTTCTCTTATACAGGTCACAGTGGGTTGGACCTCCCCACATCAAAACAGCAATCAAGAAAACATGCCATCGACTTGCCTATGGGCCAATCTGATGAGATTTCCTCTCCCTGAGTGAATCTAGCTTATGTCACTCACACACAGTAACAAAACCACAAACAAATGAAAAACAGCAAACACTACCTTTTTATAGTGTTCTGCAGAAAAAGGAATCAACATTTAATTTGGTCATTGCAGATACACTGTTCCCTTCATTAGCCTAGTTATCTATGAACTCTCTTTATCAACATCTCTCTTAAAATGTGGCATCAGGATTTTATATCATTACTATAAACAGGACTACTGTCACATTTTGTTTATAGTATTTCTCTGTTAATTCACAATAGGGACATATTTTTAACATGTAATACTCAATTATTGATTTCAAAAGGTTAGATTCCTGGTAGGACTGACCTTCATACTTTAATGGTACAATTGATTTCTTTTTACTAAGTAGATACTATCTATATCCTTTAATGTTGTGTCAGTGGCTAAGCCCTATGTTCTAGCCAATTATAATCATTTCAAACCCTGACTCTGTCAACTAGCACACTGGCTAATCTTAGCCATGCACTGTATTATGGACAAAGATGAAGCATCCTACATAGCATGGTATTAGTGGTCACCCTTTCCAGCTGCCATTAAGGTTTTATTAGACAGCTTGTAACCCCATCTGAATATACTGCCACCATGTAGCCTGTCTTTCCCAGGGACTGTGTTATTCCTTGATTCCATAAAAATAATGTCAATGACACTACCCATAGTTTCTTTATACTTAAACCACCAAACACTAAAACTATTAATTGCCAAAGACTCACTGTAAATCTTCTGTAACCAGGTAAGGCTTCTAGCAGTGGGACTGGGACATTTGCTCTACAATCTGTCCTGCCTGCAGCAAGACTTGCTGGGGTAATAATAGTGGCACTCCCAGCAGTGGCTAACCAATGACTAGTACAACTAGAGGCCCACACCACAAGACGAAGCTCATGCCTGATACTCCCTGGATAGCCAGACACCAGGGAATGCACAGCCAGAGAGCCAGAACAGAACCAAACATGAATGGAAAAATTTCAATGAAATGATTCCTAATAATATTCTTCTTTATTTAAAGATTGGTGCCTAGCTCAATTGTCAAAAGAGGTGTCATCCAGCAACTGATGGAAACAGATGTAGAAACCCACAGCCAAACATAGGCAGAAACAGGGGAACCCTGTGGAAGAGAGGGGAGGGAAGACTGTAGGAGCCAGAGGAGTAGAGGACACCATGAGAACACAGCCCACAGAATCAACCAAGTAGGGCTCATAGGGGATCACAGAAACTGAAGTAATAATCACAGATCCTGCATGGGTCTGAGCTAGGTCCTCTGCATATACATTGTGTAGCTGGATGTTCTTGTGGAACTCCTAACATGTGGGAGGGGGGTGTATCTGTCCTTTTTTTGTCTGCTCTTGGGATCCTTTGCCCCCTACTGGGTTGCCTCATCTAGCCTTGATATGAGGGTTTGTGATTAGTCCTATTGTAACTTGTTATTCTATGTTCAGTTGATAACCCTGTGTGGCCTGCTGTCTGTTTTGAAGGGAAACAGAGGAGGAGTGGACCTGGAATTGGGCCTGGAAAGAGTGGGGGAAAGGAAAGCTGTAGTTGGGATGTAGTGTAGGAGAGAAGAATAAAAACTAATCCATGATCTTCCTTTCTATACTGGAAAACTCAAACAGTCTCTAATTTGCATTCCTTAAGTTTGAATGGACTCACATAGATAAAATGTCCAATGGTAGGCTATTTGCAGCCTGCTCCTGTACCTACCCCTATGAGAACTGTGCTACAGGATTAAAAAAAAAAAGCCAAGGCAACAAGTATATTAACTAGAAAATTTGGAGTTCAGACATAATAAAGAATATAATAAAAAAATAGCAATTGTTTACAATCTAATCAGAACTGTGCTAAAGAAATGGATGGTGGCCGGGTGTTAGTGGCACACACCTTTAATCCCAGTACTCAGGAAGCAGAGGCAGGTGGATCTCTGTGCGTTCGAGACCAGCCTGGTCTCCAGAGCGAGTTCCAGGACAGGCTCGAAAGCCACAGAGAAACCCTGTCTCAAAAACCCAAATAATAATAATGATGATGATGATAAAAGAAATGGATGGCTAAAACTAAGAAAACAAAAGCCAGATTTCTCCCAACAATCTCATAACAGGTTACTCTTCCATGTATCCTAAACCTACTTGTGAAGAGTATATGGAAGCAACCTTTCCCTGCATGCTGATGTGAGCCATGATACCCCATCCCATCTACCATAAGTTCTTCTGTGATAGCCACCATATCTATACATTTTCTTTTGTCTTTCTAGAGTATCCCTGCTTCATGTCACTGCTTCATCAATGGGACTGTCCTTTGAAATGTGGTGACAAACATTTTATGGCCACCGGTTGAAAAACTAAGTAGCTGTAAGCCACAACATACTCATCCCAGTTTTACCCTGCTCCTTAATGCTTTGTAAAAGGACACTTAGACAGTTCTAGAGTGGTAGAGTTTAAACAAGGGTTCACATCAACATCTTCCTCTGTGATGTTTTAGAAAATTCATGTTTGCTTGATGACTACCCTAACTGTCATCATAGAAACTTCACCTAGTAATTGATGGAAGCAGATGCAGAAATCCACAGCCAAACTGTGCGAGTCCAGTTGAAGAGATGGAGGATGGATTATGTGAGCAAGGGGGGTCAAGTACATGATGGGGAAACCCATAGAGACAGCTGAGCCAAACTCACTGACTCTAGTCTAACAGCTGGGGAGCCTGCATGTGAAAGAACTAAGGTCTCTGCATGTGGGTGACAGTTGTGTGGCTTGGTCTGTCTGTGAGACCCCTGGCAGTGAGACTAGCATATCCCCTGGTACATGAATCTGGCTTTTTGGGGCCTATTCCTAGTGTGGGATGCCTCGCTCAGCCTTGATGGGGTGGGGGGAGTCTTGGTTCTATCTCAACTTGATGTGCCAGGCTTTGTTGACTCCCCATGGGAGGCCTTACCCATTCTGAGGAGTGGATGGGGGTGGGTGCGGGGGATGGGAGAGTGGGAGGAGGGGGTGGAGAGGGAACTGTGGTTGATATATAAAATGAATAAAATATTTTTTTTAAAAAAAAGAAAATTCATGTGTGTGTAGACCATGGGCCTGGATATTCTGATACAGCAAACTTGAAGTATCTGTATAGCCTGTTAAAAATCTCTAAAAGTTGTTCATTCTCATCCATGATGCTGGTTAAAAACCATTGTTCTATACTAGTTTACTCTAATCACCTCTCCTCACTATTCTGAAGGATAAAAACTATTTGAATATTTTATCCTATTGCCTACAAAAACAGATTTAGTTTTTTGCGGAAGCAAAAAATTACGAATTGAGAAGCAAATATATCCCCCATGTTAATCAAATCCACAGTCAATCTTGCAGGGTATAAGAGAAACAGTTTAGCATCATTTTTAACAGTTAGGGTCATCTTTATGGTCTCATAATCTACTTACCGTTTCCAAACTTCTTAAATAAAGACGATAATTTGTGATGTAAACTCTTCCCTTAATGGGGCCATTGAAAGGACATATGTAAATAACTTCTTTGTCTAGTAAGATAAAAAAAGTACCCTAAAATAATGGAAATATAGACCAAGATATACAACAAATGGTACTAACTTAATATAAACTACTTGGCTATGTTTAACTATAATAAAAATGTTGAAAGCAACACTGGCAAAGTTTCCACATCTCGTGCCAGGCTGAATCAGGGCAGTAGGGAGCCAGTAGGCCTATGTCTCTTCTAAGCACTCATGGCATTTGTGAGTTTGCCCCCAATGCTGTAACCACCTGAGACAAGGTGACAAGAGCCAGAGCACAGAACTGAATGGGGGTTTCGCTGTTGTTAACATCTCAGTATTGTAAAAGAAACTACTTGAGCTATTTCTCTTTCAGTGATATCCTTGAATATGTTAATGATTTTAATTTTTAAAAATAACTTTGAAATCCCTTTCTCTTCAGGTACCAAATGAAAACTATATACTGAGGTCATTTCATGTCAGTTCAATTAGTTACTATATTGGTTAAAGGTCCATCTTCTGATATTCAGGACTCAAATGTCATATATGAAGACCATCCAAAGCAAAATTTCTTTGCTCTTATCCAGAAACTGGGAAGGACATAATTTACTGGTTTCAGTTTCAAGACTAGAACTATGAGTGTGAGTCCATGGACACTAGTTTCTCGTGGTTCTTGTGGTACATGGCTAATTCAAAGACACTTTTCTAAAACCTTCATTTAATTGCTCATTTAAAATAAAATTCCAAATCTTAATTAATGGGCTGGTTCCCTGAAACAATGCTGATTATTGGACCCAAATATACTAATATGTGGCAGGAAGGACCAACCCTAACACAAAAAATGAATGTCCATATCATCAGCACTTGGCTCAGATGCTATTGGATGCTTTTGCATTCTTAAGTCAAAGTGACCTAGCCCTTCCAAAGCAGATTTCTTCCTCTTAGCATGGGTTTATCATGAAAAAAGAATACTGTATTGACATGTTACCACAACCTTACTTAAATTCCATTTTCTGGCAAAGGATCTCCTATTTTATCAAAGAAGAATCTTTAAGCTATTATCATTTTTGAAACATATATCACAGATTGGAAGACTTAATTTAATTGTTCTTATAACCTTAAATTACGAATAGTCTATACTATACCTCTAGTTAGAAACTTTCAAGAGATAACCCACATTGTTAGCACTAAAACATTCTAGTTGGTACAGAGACAAGAATATTGCTAGCCTTGTGAGCATAGAGCTTTTGAAAGAACTCTTTGATGAGGAAAGGCATGCATTCTCTGCACTGACACTCCTAAACAAAGCTAGCCTATTTGTCCTCTCTGTCTTGTACAGAGCAAGTGAAGCTCAAGCCACCTCATCTTGCTGTACTGTTCCTCCAGGTCTGCACTCCCAGCCTCAAAAGCTCCTTACCAGTAATTAGTATTTCCCCTGGGAGTTGAGGAACACTCTCACTGAGATCCTGACTGAGTCCATCTTGAGATACCTGCAAGTGAAAGGGAAATCAGAGGTGTTGGTGTTATCTTGCACAGATGGTAACAAACAGAAATACGCTTTTTAAAGAAAAAATGGAAGTTTAGTATTTAAGAAAACTAGAGCAGAAAATTCAAACTGGGAAAAGGGAATCTGGGATGAAAATATAGCTGGCACTTTCTTAACTCACATGATGCCTTCTGTTTAATCCCTAGCAACAAAAGTTAGAAAAATAAAAGATTGATCTGGCTGCAATGTTTATCAGATGTGCTAACTCCTAGTCTGCATTAAAATAATATTACCAAAGTTTTAAATACTTTTTAAAGCTAACACACCTCAGTAGAATGACAGAACATTAATGAAGTTAGTGTGCTATATGGCCACAGCTTTTGTTCCTATGCAATTGCTGCAGAATCATATCACAGTGCCAGAGCATATGCTTTCTGACCTATTATTTTTATTAGGAATCTTATTCTAAGTAAGAGAAAGAGTAGTTTGTCACAGACCCCATCAGGTGTCTAGGAACCATTTTGGGAAATCCCCCCATTGACTTTATTCATCTTATCACTTCAGCAACTCTGACAGCCAGGAAAGCATTAATCATAAAACTCAGGGACTCCAGGTATGGTGACAGCCTTTGGCAAGCTGTGGCAGTATCATCACAAGTTTGAGGCTAGCCTGGGCCACATAACCTGACCCACTCTCAAAACCAACCAACCAACTATCCAATCCACTCACAATTTAAATTTCGGTATTTCAAAATAAAAATAGAATGCTATAAGATTAAAGGGCTGAAATAAAGTGATTTGTACATTAAAAAGAGTTATTACATTATGAACAATACTTAGTAAACGATTAAGAAAAGAATCTGCCAACCTCCCTCCCAGGTAAACAGGCAATGGGAATGAATATTTCACTCAACCAACAGGAAAGAACAGTAATGTAGCTTTAAAAAGCAATAAAAGGCAAAACTTGTCAGTAATAAAGAAATAAAAATAAAAAGATACCTGCCTTTCTGATTGGTCATCTTTATACACTTTGAGGTGAGAGAATAAATTGATCTTTCTGGTGAATCATCTTAAAATTTCATGGGGCCATGAATAAAACTTACTTAGAATTCACCCCCCTTTCAATTTATGATCCAAAAATTTCATTCTACTTTGAAGCATTTTATGTTCAAGTTGTACATATTTGGCTTTTGTAAGTCTTATCATCATAGTCATCAAATAAAGCCCTATTTCTGAAGGTATAGTAACCTGCTTAGTCAGTCTTGGCCTTTCAACAGATAAGGTCTGGCAGCAACTTATGAACAAAGCTTTAGGAAATCATTTACAAAGCAAAAATCATTTAACACATAATCTATTTAAATATCTCCTAGAACAAAGTGTCTCCATTGCCTTATGCTATATGAATACATGATGAAATTCATGGTTCAATAAGACCCAAACAATTGTCTGACACAAATATGAAGAGAGAAATGTAGAGATACAGACAAATGTAAAAACAACCTACCATTTTAATGGATTCATTCTCCAAGGCATATGAATTACATTTAGATGTTGATGCAGAAGCCATCCTGGAAACTACCAAGAAAGACAAAATTCTCTATTAATTGAACTATTTAAAACATGTGATTAAAGCGTTCAATATTTCAAGAGAACATAGTACTTAAGTTTGTAGATGCTATTTATATCTTAGGGCCCAACAGAATAAAAAATACAAATAGCTACCCAGAGCACAGGCAGTAAATATCCAATGAAGAAACACGTTCAATGCTGTATTTATTTTATTCTTGGTTTTTAGGTTTGAGAGGGAGAAGTTAGAGGTGTGCTATACATTTCCAAACTTTCACCTAAAAGTTAAGAGGGTACTGTGCCAGATACACACCTAGATGATAAATGACTATAAAGGGCCATGTGTGGTAGAAGCAATTTGTGCTCTAGCACTTGGGAGGCAGAATTAGGAGGACCATTAAATAAAAAGACTGTCTGCATTCATGAATGAGACTATGTCTCAAAAATTGCAAAATAGGGTTGGGAAACACAGAACAGGAAACAGGAGCTAAATAGTAAAAGGAAAATCCCATAGATGACATCATGATTATTCTAAGAAATTTTATTCATAGAGTTCAAGTTGCCAATTAAAAACAAGCAAACAAAAAATTTTAATGTTTACCAATACATTGCAGCATGAAATTTCTATACCACCTAATTTTTAAAGATAATTTACAAGCATCCAAGCAGAATTATTAAAGGGTGAATAGTATCACTTAAACAATTCCCCATCAAAAATTATTTTCTCAAACTCTAATATAGAGCTATAGTCCTGAAAACAGCTTGGGAGACAAAACAAAAACAGACAGGGAGACCAATGGAATCAAATTGAAAACCCTCATATTAACCCACACACCTACGAACACCTGATCTTTGACAAAGAAGCTAAATTTATACAATGGAAAAAAGAAAACAGCTTTAACAAATGGTACTGGCATAATTGGATGCTGGCATGTAGAAGACTGAAGATAAATCCATGTCTATCGCCATGCACAAAACCTAAGTCAAAATGAATCAAAGACCTCAATATAAATCCAGCCACACTGAACCTCTTAGAAGAGAAGGTAAGTGGTACCCTCAAACAAATTGGTACAGGAGAGCGCTTCCTGAACATAACACCAGTAGCATAGACACTGAGACTGACAATTAATAAATGGGACCTCCTGAAACTGAGAAGCTTCTTTGAGGCAAAGGACACAGTCAACAAGACAAAACGGCAGCCCATCAAATGGGAAAAGATATTCATCAACCCCACATCTGACAGAGGGCTGATTTCCAAACTATACAAAGAACTCATTAAGCTAGTCACCAAAACACCAAATAATCCAATTAAAAAGTGGAATATAGAACTAAATCGAGAATTCTCAATAGAGGAATCTAAAATGGCTGAAAACACATAAGAAAGTGTTCAACATCCTTAGCTATCAGGGAAATGCAAATCAAAACAACAGTGAGATACCATCTTACTCCTGTCACAATGGCTAAAATCAAAAACACCAATGATAGCTTATGCTGGAGAGGATGTGGAGAAAGGGTAACACTCCTCCATTGCTGGTAGGAGTGCAAACTGGTACAGCCACTTTGGAAATCAGTATGGTGGTTCCTAGGGAAATGGGAATCAATCTACCACAAGATCCAGCAATTGCACTCTTAGGCATATACCCAAAGGATGCACATTCATACAACAAGGACATCTGTTCAACCATGTTCATAGCAGCATTATTTGTAATAGCCAGAACCTGGAAGCAACTTAGATGCCCCTCAACTGAAGAATGGATAGAGAAATTGTGGTCCATTTACACAATTAGTATTACTCAGATGAAAAAAAAAAAAACAATGGAATCTTGAAATTCATAGGCAAATGGATGGAACTAGAAGAAACCATCCTGAGTGAGGTTATCCAGTCTCAAAAAGACAAACATGGTATGTACTCATTCATATATGGATTTTAGATGTAGAGCAAAGGACTACCAGCCTACAATCCACACTGCCAGAGAAGCTAGTAAACAAGGAGAACCCTAAGAGAGACATACATGGTCTCCAGGAGATGGGGAATGGAACAAGATCTCCTGAGCTAATTGCGAACACGGGTGGAGGGGAGAGGGAGGTAGGAGAAAGAGAAGGGGAGAAGAGGAGAAGATGAGGGCAGAGGACATGAGGGAGCAGGAAGACTGAGTCAGGGGAAGAATAGAGGAGAGCAAGAAAAGAGATACCATAATAGAGGGAGCCGTTATAGGTTTAAAGAGAAATCTGGAACTAGGGAAATGTCCAGACAACTATAAGGTTGACCCCAACTAACAATCTAAGAAATAGTGGAGAGGCTACCTTCCCTTATAGTGAGATTGATGACTACCTTATATGCCATCCTAGAACCTTCATCCAGTGGATGATGGAAGCACAAGCAGAAACCCACAGCTAAACACTGAGCTGAACTCTGGAATCCAGTTTCAGAGAGGGAGGAGTGATGAGCAAAAGGGTCAAGACCAGGCTGATGAAACCCACAGAAACAGCTGACCTGAACAAGGGGGAGCCCATGGACCCCAGACTGATAGCTGAGAAACCAGCATAGGACTGGTCCAGACCCCTTGAACAAGGGTGTCAGTTAGGAGGCCTGGGCAGTCTATGGGGCCTATGGCAGTGGATCAGTATTTATCCCTAATACACAAATGGACTTTGGGAGACATCTCCACATGGAGGGATACTCTCTCAGCCTAGACACATGGGGGAGGGCCTAGGCCCTGTTCCAAATGATATGACCCTTTAAGAATGCCCCATGGAAGGCCTCACCCTCCCTAGGGAGCAGAAAGGGGATGGGATAGGGAGTCAGTAGGGGGCAGAGGAGGAGGGGAGGGAACTTACATTGGTATGTAAAACAAGCTTGTTTCTCATTTAAATTCAAAAGTATAAAAATGAAAAACATACCTGTTCTAGCCTCTGGAAGAAGCAACAGCAAATTTTTCATATGCTGATATTGATCTGAACATGTGAATAAAAAAGAATTGCTTTATCTACATTAAAAAGTCTAATGTGAAATAGAATTGAATGAAATCAAATTCATAGGAATTATTTAGTCAGTATTTTCTAGTGAAAGTATGTATTTCAGGTAAATAATGCATAATCCCTCAATTCAGCCATAGACAAAAGGGGTTAATATTCAGAACAACATGTGGTGGTTTGAAAGAAAATGGCCCCCCAAAGGGAATGGCACTATTAGGAGGTATGGCCTTGTTGGAGGAAGTGTGTCACTGTGGGATTGCGCTTTGATGTCTCTTAATCAAGCTTCCCTCAGTGTGACAGCCAGTAGACTTCCTGCTGCCTGCAAGAAGCAGCAGTCTCAGCTCCAGCACCAGGTCTGCCTGTACACCACCAAGGTCCCCATCATGATGGACTGAACCTCTGAAACTGTTCGTGAGCCACCCCAATCAAATGCTTTCCTTATACATGTTGTCGTGGTAATAGTGTCTCTTCACAGCAATAGAACCTAAGACAATACATCAAACATTTTTTAAAAAAATATTTATTGTTATTTGTGTACATAATGTGTATGTGTGGGCATGCATGCTATAGTGCATGTATAGAGGTCCAAGGACAAGTCATGGAGTCAGTTCTGTCCTTCCACCTTTACCTGAGTTGTGGGAATCAAACTCAGATCATCTGGCTTTCAAGGCCACTTAAGTGCCTTTATATGATGGGCCATCTCACTGGCTGCACAAAACCATTTAAACCTAAGTATTTATTTAAACTTGTGAAGATTTTAGCAATGATGGAAAACAAGAAATGCTTGTTATTTTAGTTATCAATATTAAGGATAGACAGGGATGAAGTCACTAGCAGGTAAGCATATCTACTTCAAGGTGACTGTGGATATCTATGGAATCTTTTGGATCATGTTCCATTAAAAGAACTGTCAGAGGGTTGGGGATATAGCTCACTCAGTAAAATACTTGCCTTGAAATCATGATGACCCACCCAGAACCTGCATTTTTAAAAAGTTGGGTATGATATATGCTTGTAAATCCCACTCCTGGATAGGCTGCCTTACTAGCCAGCAGCTTAACTTACTTTGTGAGCTCTAGAAAAGTGAGAGACCCTGTCTAAAAACCCAAGGTAGACCACTCTGGAGGAATATGATCTCCACATACCATACACACATGTATTCACAAACTGCCAACCATTCTCTCTCTCTCTCTCTCTCTCTCTCTCTTTCTCTCCCTCCTCTCTCTCACACACACACACACACACACACACACACACACACTAAAAAAGGAGCAGTCATTCCCTAACAAAGCACAGAATACCAACTCACTCTGGCACACCTTCACGGTGCTGGTCAGTGTCCTTAAGAAAATCCTGAAGAAGACAGGAAGCATATAAATAAAAACATCAAAATGAAGAGGTAGAGAGATACAGAAGGGAAGGAATCTTACATTATTAGGGCTGTCAGGTTGCACCCACAAGAGATCAACTTGACAAGGGCAAAGCTGGTGCCCATTTGGCTCATGGTTGTGTCCTGGTACACAATGGCATTATTAACACTCTAGTGAGAGAATGACTGATTGTGTGGAAAATACACACCATCATAAGACATGATGAGGGGGCTAACTTCAATACTGATTTACCAAATCCCACAACAGTGGAACAATGAAGTATTATTGAATCATAAAGATGAACTCTTAACCCAGATATCATGATGGCACAAATCAAACTCCCAGCAACTGGGAACTGCTAAACTAGGAGGGTCTGTTTAGCCCAGTAGTTTGAGACCAGGCTAGGCAATAGAGGAAGGAGGGGAGGTAAGAGGAAGCAAAAAAACAAGTGCTAATAGAGAAAAGATGGAAAAGAAAAAGTGAATTTGGTGGTAGCTTAATTAAAAAGGAATTACACTCTAACTTTAAAAAAGATCAGCAAGTAACTGCCAAATAAATTAAATTCAGACAAAATATTACATTGTGCTTTGCAAGACTACTCTAACCTTATGCTCATATACCACAAAATATTTACTCTTAGACATAATAGCAGAATGGGGAAGATGAACTTGAAAAGGCTGATCAGATGTACCTACCCTGAAATTATTCATCTGACTAAATAGGATTATTTAAGGGGACAGAGAAGGTTCTTCAGTAAGATATAAAATTTGTTTTTAGTAGTAAGATGCTTGAATATCTAATAGGTAAGTGTTTTCAAACTGAAGTTATTATTGCTAATTCAATAAAGATATTTAAAATCCAGGGCTGTACAGACCACTTACTGCCAACCTCACTGCTCATACAATGTTTCTACACAAGCCATGACCAACAAAGCCAAATGTGGTAATGTATTCTTTTAATATTAGCACTTGCGAGGTGGAAGCAGGGGGATCAAGGGTTCAAGCCCAGCCTGGACTACATCAGACTGAAACACACAGAGACACAGAAAGAGAGAGAGAAAGAAGGAGAGACAGAGACAGATAGACACAGAGAGGAGAGAGACAGAGACTTACCATCTTTAACACTTGTAAACATTTCAGTCTAAAATAAATGAAGAAAGCCATCTCCACCTCCCCTTTTAAGATAAAAAGTCACTATATGATTCAAGGCTTTCATTAGCTAGGCATGGTATTGCACTCCTATAGCCCTAACACTTTGACTGAGTCAGTTTACAATCAAGCTAGTCTGGGACACACACACACACACACACACACACACACACACACACACTCTTACCTGTCTCAC